CCTCACCGCACTTCCATTGGTCAATCCTTGGTTCACCGACCCAGTAGACAAAACGACTTTGATCACCGCTATCAACGATCTTCTCACCACCGTTTATACTGGTAAGCTATTTTGATGCTAGAGTATTTTTGATACCTTAAATCACATCTGTTTACAGTGCCCGGGTTGACGCTCATCACCCCGGACAATAAGACCTCTATCGTGGATTACGGTTGGTTGCTTTCGAGTACTTTTAAAATCCCATCTAAACATATATTTCATTCCAGTGAACAACTATGATCCAGTAAGCATGGTGTTTGGGAGGTATTCGCCGCCTGAACTAATTCACAATTCTAGGGAAATCTTGATTCCAATCATTGGGTTGGTTCCAACAGCATTGGCTCAGTCGTCGATGTCAATACTAAAGTAATTGGCACAAACAATTTGGTGAGTCTAAAAGCATCGTCAAATCACCCCACCGTATTGATATAGTTGACCATTAAGTTCGTTGTCGACGCCTCCATCATTCCCGCTTTGCCCACGGGCAATCCTCACGGTAAGCTCGGATTTCTCTCTTTCATGTCGTCATTGCTCACTATCCGCTATATATAGGCACGCTTATGTCTGCAGCGGAGCAAGCGGCGGCGAAGATTCTGGCACTGGCAGGCGGGCCTTGAACGCCGAGGTAGCCAACCAATCCATTCATAAATTTGCCTTGTATGGTTTCGAAAAATTGTGTCAATGGAATTACTATTGAAAGCCATAGTCGATATATTGAGCATACATGAGCCACTGCCGGCACTCATGAGGTCTACAAACTGTGCCAACCTACCATAGCCCCAGGAGTACCACCAAAAACACGTGTGTATTTTTGATGGGTCAAGAATTATTATTGTAACGTCTCTTGTCAGTTTCACAAGGACCGACTTAAGTGCTAGTATTCCGTCTGGTAACACATCTGACTATGTTTCGCTCCGTCTCTCCACCTCCAATGCAAGGCCTGATGTTTAGGAGAACACTGCGACGTTTTAGTGAAATGTCTGAGGAAGCAACACTAGACTTACATAGCGAATAGTTTGACATCTAGATTGGGTTGTTCGCGTGAGCTGCTTATCTTGAGATAAGTAAAAGGAAATTTGACTGACCTGGAACAGGCTTTTAGCTCTGTAGTTGTCTCGCAATGTGGCAATCCACAAACGTCCCAACCTAGGGTGTGCTTCCTGATCCTTCTTGCGTCATTTCTGAACCCACTACCGCCTCCAAGTTCCGGGCTCCAAGCCGAGAGAACCCTGCCTGCGACATCACTCATGACGTCCCCTTGATATCTGGTGGCCCAAGCTCGTAGCAATGGTTTTAGTTCGTCGCGAAGACTCTTAGGAACGACAGACTCTTGATCACGCTCTTTGACGAAGGCGGTTTGCAAAGTGCTGAGCAGTTGTACGGCACTCGTAAGTATTCCCCGGTAGTGATTCTCTAGTTCGCGATCGGTATTTTGACGCATCGTAGGCTCCCAAGCTTGCCCTAGTTCTGTGATGCGTTCAGCTACAACCTTTGGCAGCAATTTTCCATCGGCAGCGATGGGGCTCCTTGATCTCAGAAACTTTGAGAAGTATGCATTGTGCTGCGTCTGCACAAGCATCTCGCTGCATGGACTGAATAACTTGAATTTGGCAATATCTTGAGGGTTCGTGCTGGGGATCGCCGGGGGATTGATAAAGCGATTGACAGCTGCAGGCAGATAGAGAGCGCAGAATCTAGCCCAAACGATTTCCTGTTGCTCCTCCGATTCCATAGCATTTCTTGGAATCTGCACAAAGCCCCGTGATCAAAGACGAAGTAAGATATTATTATTCGAAGAACATACGTAGACATTTCCGAGCCAGTGAAGACGCTGATATTCGTCCAAGTCACTCCTGCCGTCATCAATCACGCTTCTTTTCAATCCTAGAACACTCGAAACCTTCAGGTTTCTGCAAACATGAGACAGTCATTTTTCACCTTACCAAGTACGACGGCAAAATCGTCTGACATGAAGAAGTCAAGCCTTCTCAGATCTGCCTCGCTTGGTGGGTCCATGCTGGTCAGAGCAAAAGCGCGGTTCATGTCCAGTCGGATTTTGAGACAGGAGACGGGAAGGGCAACGATGTTTCAAGGTTGTGTAGGCAGAAGTAAGTCAAAGAGCGACAACCTACAAAAGTTCTGGGTTCGATCGACGATCACGGGAACCCGAGTGGAGCCATTAATATTGCCAAAACGCTTGCCCTCTTAGACGCAGCTGTGCCTCAGCGCGCCGCCGTCTGACAAAAGACATCACCGAGATCTAGAAGTCTTACAGTTATTGTATCCAATGAATATGAAAGCCCTATTTCGCCCGTGATTTCAACCAGCACCTCAGAGTCTCCCAAGAGCCGAGATATATTTTGTTCTATTTGGCGCCGTCTACGTCCCAGTCCGAGTACAAATCTTCCGCGAGGCCAATAGTCCCTTGCTCTCACAGCAGCGTGGCAACATCGAAACGATCTTCCGCAGATGCTGCCACCAGCAGCGCTGTGTCGTATGCAGTACTCTCCTGCGGCGTTGATATATGCTCCTTTGTCCAGCATGACGGCCTCGAGATGAACTCTTCCTTGGAAGTTCTCTACAGCCCTGCGCCGCGTCCACTTCCATCAATATTGACGTCAGCTCCATTGCTCAGCAGCAGTCGAGCGACTCGAAATGACCTCTCATGATTGCTCCCTGTAGCAACGCCGAATCGTATACATCCCCCGAAGAGCCGTCTGTCTGCCTTGCGACGTTGGCGCCAGCTTCTTGATCCAGCAGCTGGTTGGCGAGCTCGAGATCATCACTCTCGCATGCTGGGTGGAGCGCCTGACTGACGGGCTCTCCCTTCATCTCGGTGCGCTCGAGATGACCGGCAGATTTGGCTGGAGCGGCAGCGAGCAGACGTTTGCAAAAGAACAATGTCGAAAATTGATTTGCTGTTAGAGCTTGGCGGTCCTTCGGGAGCAGCGCTCGGGATTCCCCTGAGGGAAGTGATCGTTCACCGCTTGGGGCACAGATGGGTTTGTACTGAAATGGGGTGAAGGTGGCGTCATCGAGCTTTGGATTCTCTCCGTATTTGATCGCGGCACGGAAGGATATCGTTTCGCAGGTCGCATGGTAGCAGTGGGCCCAGCAAACAAGAAGGGAGCCATCGATGTGATAGACTCATGAGACTGGTGGTCAGTATGTGAGAAAATAGGTGTGTACATGTGTTCTTTGATCAACCCATCCGGTGATGTTTTGGGCGGGCCTGAACGTAGTAGATGAACTAGTTAGTGGGCATGCGCATAATATTCGTCATCATACCAATGCCTGTTCAGGCCTGTTCTAGTGCTAAGAACGTTCATTAATCATCTAGATCATGGATGCTCATGCAGATAGAAACATACATACCGACGCAAGCTAGCCTATGTACACTTTGCTAGTAGCGCTGTGTGTGCGCTACGGCGGTGGTGTCATCATCCTCCTTCCCTGACTGGTTCATTATGTGAGGTTGACAGGCGTATGAAGTCAAGTAGAAGGGGCAAACAAGACATCGTAGTAGTGCTTCTTTGCCAGTCTTTGCCGCAGTGCATTGCTCAGTTAGTGGTCTGACTAAGCAAGGTTGCCGTAAAAGGGTTGATCTCGATCAGTAAGTCTCTTTCTGTCAGCCTCACAAGCATTAATGGGGTAGTGGTAACCTGGGTCGTTGCCATTCGGCTTGCATAAAGTCGACCCGCCGGGGGTTCGATTCCCTCTTAATGCATTGTTTTTTTCCTCATATTTTTACCTACTCCGTCAAACTCGTTACTGGTAGCAATCTTTTTGCAGCCTTCTCTTTTTTTTTGGAGAGATTTCAAACCCAATAAAGCTTACAATTCTAGCGCGAAGTAATAAAACTCAATCTCTTCTGCCATGGTACATTTCATCTTGAGACGTCTATTACAGTATTTATCCTTTGCCAGGACACCATAGCGGGCGGCATCAGTCAATGGTGCATGTCAGGTCACAGACTGCAATTTCAAAAAGAGACACAGGAAGAGTCGGCAAAAAGCATATGCATTAAGAGGGAATCGAACCCCCGGCGGGTCGACTTTGTGCAAGCCGAATGGCAACGACCCAGGTTACCACTACCCCATTAATGCGTTGGGTGAGCTGCTGAGAGAATATATTCAATCGGCTTAGTGTACCTAGCAATCCACGACGCCACATTGTTGCCACATGTCTAGTGCGGCGCCCAGTCAACTACGTTTGGTAATGCGCGAATGGCATGCCTTTGACACCTGCGCTCATGACATGATGTCTCAAAAACCCCTTCTGCTACCGTAAAGTCGTTTTCAAACCTCTTATAATCTCATGACTGACGAACGCTCACTCACTCTTCTCTATTCTTGGTACCTTGACCAACTCCGCATTTCTCTACTGCTATGCGGCTGTTCGTCTTGGTGTCTGTCTTGGCGTCTGTTAGACTCGCAGTCTCGTCGCCTCCCAACTTTCCTCGCAGCGGCAATGGTCTATGGTACAACACTCCAGGTGTTTCTTGGTGGACCGATTACCTGCCTGTTGGAAATGGGTATCTCGCTGGTAGACCAAGTTCCTCGACCTGTATGCATTAATCACTGAACGGGCCGTCTTCTTTTTCCGGGCCGCGGCAGCCATGACACCCGGGGGAACCTCGTTCGAAGCCACACAGCTTAACATCGAGTCGCTGTGGTCAGGAGGGCCCTTTGCGGATGAAGTACGTATGCAGTGTACTGTGCTTGACGTTACTCACACCTTGCATAGACTTACAACGGGGGAAACCCCGTCGCTTCGGCGCAAGGCGTCTTGGCCGATGACATGCAAACTATCCGCGAGACCATTTTTGAGAGCAGCATCGGAGAAATAGAGAGTGAGTCTCGTGAACGTGACAGCGGCGGCAGTCATTTGATTTGAAAATTTAGATATCGACGTACTCACCACCGATGCCGGCGCATATGGTCAGTTCTTTGTTTTGGTAATTTGTCTGATTTTAATTATCCGATGGCAGGATCGTACGCGGGTGCAGGATATCTGTTGACGACATTAGCTACATCTGGGAACGTGACTGACTATTTCAGATGGCTTGACATGGACCAGGCCGTGGCTCATGCCACCTGGTCTCAGTCAAAGACTACTTTCACACGGTTGGTTTTTCTCAATTCTGCACCACCTTTCCCTCCGGAAAGCTCTCTAACAACGACTCTAGGGACACATTCTGTTCTCACCCAGCTAAATCATGTATCCAGCATTTATCCAGTGCAGCTGCAGTGTTGCCAGTAACTACATACGCATTCTCACCATTCCTCGAAACTGGACTTCCAACCCCCAACGTGACTTGCCTCGACAATGCGACTCTCGTCGTTCGGGGGCTAGTCTCAGAACCTGGGATGCTGTACGAAATAATCGGCCGAGCTCAAGCGACTCCGTCGAATGGCAAGGTCTTGATACAATGCAAACCCGCACCGAGTATTACTAACGGCTTAAAAAACGCTACTATCACCATATCGGGAGCTGCGGCAACCTGGTTCTCATGGGTTGGCGGCACTAATTACGACCTAGAGGCAGGCGATGCAGCTCACAATTTTACCTTCCAAGGATCTGATCCGCACGCTACTTTGCTCATCGAGCTGCAAGGGACATCTCAACCAACTTATCAGTCTTTGCTCTCTTCCCACACCTCCGACTATGATTCTGTCATCTCCCCATTTAAGCTTAACATCGGACAAATTCCGAACTTTTCGATCCCTACGGACGAGCTCAGAAATGCCTACCAGACCGATGAAGGCGACCCATACCTGGAGTGGTTGTTGTTTAATCTTGGGCGCTACATGCTGGCGAGCAGTGCTCGTGGGGCATTGCCCGCGAACCTGCAAGGGAAGTGGTTAAATGATATCGGCGGTCCCTGGAGCGCAGGTCAGTATTGCGTATGGCAAAATTTACCGCAAGATCTGACACTTTTTCCACCTCAGATTACCGTAAGCATGAGGTCGCTGAACGATTCTACACGTTTCTTACCTGTCTCAGACGCCAACATCAACCTTCAGATGAACTACTGGATAGCTGAAATGACCGGGATGGATGTCACTAGCTCTCTGTTCGATTATATGCAGGTATACTTGAGATTCAGGGAAGATTTCACGTTCGGGTTCATTTTAACATAATCATTTAGAGCACTTGGGCTCCCCGAGGCGCGCAAACTGCACAATTCTTATACAATATCTCGCGCGGCTGGGTAACGCATGACGAGGTAAGCTCCGATTATCTTGCTCAAGGAACGAACATTACTCACGTTGTCTTCCCTAGATGAATGTTTGTGTCCCGCTAAAATCATGGGCTCCATATTTGCTAACTTTCCCGTAAGATATTCGGTCATACAGGAATGAAGGCGGAACCAGGTTCTAATCCAGCCCAATGGGCCGACTATCCAGGCGAGTAAACGTCGCATGAGTGAATTAAACATGTGAGCTTATGGAACGATGTGTGGAATCTAGAATCTGCAGTGTGGATGGTTTGTGAAACCTTTGGACAGTTGCTCTGATGCTAAGATATATTCGCAGATGATCCACGTATGGGATCATTTCGACTACACAAACGACGTGGCTTGGTGGAAGGCTCAAGGCTGGCCTCTGGTGAAGGTGTGCGATTCCTTGCTAAGGAATTTCAGCCGACATTTAATTATTACTAACTGATCAATCTGTTTGGCAAGGGCGTGGCAAGCTTCCACTTAGACAAGCTGATCCTTGATCTCTACTTCAACGACTCTACTTTGGTCACAGCTCCATGCAACTCACCGGAGCAAGTGCCTATCACCTTCGGTAACACATGATCAAATACATTCTCGTGAAATTCAACTGACATCGAAGAATTAGGTTGTGCTCACGCCCAGCAACTGATATGGCAATTGTTCAATACTATTGAGAAAGGCTTCCAAGCAGCAGAAGACACGGACACCGCTTTCCTCGAGGGTAGGGTAACGGATTTCGTTTATTTCGACATTTCTCTAATATTGAACAAAAGAGGTACTGCAAAAGCGAGCTCAAATGGACAAGGGCATTCGTATCGGTTCCTGGGGCCAGTTACAAGGTTCGTCACTCCAGCGCGCTGTCCGTGTCATGAGCAATTGCTCAAGCTATCTTATGTATAGAGTGGAAAGTTGAGAAAGATCAGCAGGCCGACACGCATCGCCATCTATCGCATCTCGTCGGACTGTATCCCGGCTATGCACTTTCAAGCTATGATGCTTCGGTGCAGGGGGGCCTTGTCAGCAACGGCACTTACCTGAACTACACCAAAAGCCAAGTCATCGAAGCGGCGGAGATCAGTCTGATACATCGCGGAGATGGGACTGGTCCCGACGGAAATGCGGGATGGGAGAAGGTATGGCGAGCAGCGTGCTGGGCCCAGCTGGGTAACTCAACAGCGTACTACCACCAGCTCACGGTGAGACGCTGGCTCGGACATGTCAATAGGAAATCACTAACCTCTCGATGCTCTGATAGTACGCTATTGCAACGAACTTTGCTTCGAATCTGTTCAGCTTGTACAACGCGTATAGCCTCACCGATACCGGTCCGCTGTTCCAAATTGATGCAAACTTGGGATACCCTGCAGCAGTTCTCGTACGTGCCGGAGAAATATGAGTCTGTAAAAGCCACTCACAAGATCACTAGAACGCCTTGTTGCAAGCACCCGATGTCGCCAGTCAGAGCGCTGCTCTTACCATCACTTTGCTTCCGGCCGTGCCGAAGAAGTGGGCCTCTGGGTCTATCACAGGGGCCCGTATTCGTGGAGGGATATCGATCAACATGACATGGAGCAACAGCAAACTCCAAACGGCTCAGTTCGTCGCTGATAGCAGCGCTGTTGGCAAGAGTGTTGTCGTTGTATATCTTGGCGCTCCTGTGAGCGAGTTTGTGGCCAGACCGGGAACCAGCAAGTCCCTGAGCTTTGCCTGATGGAATTCGGAATTTATGATCAGCCAAAGAGAGAAGAAGTGCAGCGGGTAATATTGCTCGTAGTGTATGGGTGGTGTAGCAAGTGGAACTGGTCGCAAATGCGCAACAATCGAAGCTGGCTATTGAACTCGATATCCTACTCTTGAACAAGCGAGCCAAAATTCGGTCCCGCCCTCTTCACACCAACCGAGGGGGCCTAGGTCACATTCGCCACAAATGATCAGCTTTAAGCTTTTCCCAGATGCTTTAATCCCATTTAATACGGACATGCATAGATATGAATAGCACATCAGTCAGACGAACCTTCGGAGAGTGTCTGTGCCCGTCGAGTGAAGCCGACATTTTCAAAAGCGTTGTATGAAGGGGATACCATCCACCATTGCGCTGTCTCTGGTGATGGGGGAAGGGTTGGTAACAGACTGTGTGCAGGTATCCCAGTCGGCTCCAGCTGCCAGTAGACCAAAGATTGGTAGGTTTAGATTGGACTCAAAGTAAATGGCCCACCTGCACGCTAGCTCTCTCCACCCACTCTGCTGCGCCAGGCTTCAGCATTAAACTTCCACATTCCGGGCGGGGGCATGCAATGGCAAATTTGTTGGATGAAGCACCAGTGTTGTCGGAATTGGGAGCGCAGAGTTCCAAGACGCTTTCAAATGAGTTCAGGAGACGGGATGCTGGGTTACCGGCCGGCCGCTGCAATGCTTCCAGTAAGCCAGGAGGGAGAGATTGCGTGCCGTCAGAGAATTCAGGTGCAGACATGATAGACGTCGATCAAGCCCAATTTGTGGAC